TGTTTTCAAGTTTACTCGCGCATGTCATCCATTGACAGTGTCCCTTTAAAGAGGGGGCAACGTCTAATATTAACTACAGCTTTAATTGTCAACAGAAAAATCGAACGGTGTCAGATTATTATTGAGGTGGAAAACTTCTTAAGAAAAGCGTGCTACGACGGATTTGCGACAACTCTTTATTCACCCCACCCCACCCCTCCTACTGATGAATATTGCACAGTTTCTTAGTAATTGTATTACACGGTCTTCAGGAAAGCACTTTAAAATAACCGTCTTTAATGCAATTTTAATGAATATCTATTTACACAAAGACTGATTCCATAAGTCAAAGTATTCGCTCCCGGCATATGAAACTTATGGGGGACAAATAGTCCGTGATCACTCAAGCTTGACCTGACAGTCCGTATGAAGTGCCAAATTTGACGAAAAAAGGCCAGATTTCAAGGCTTTTTGAAGAAATGCGGCGACATTAAAAACAATCCTAAAAACCTAGCACCGGATTTAAGAAATAAAATCTATATGTGACCTTTCCGGGTATTTTTCGTGAGAAAATTCGAAAATCCAATCATGTATTTTTGCCCTTGAAGAGTTGAAGTTGAGCATTAAAATAGTATGGCGATCCATGTTTTCACCACAGTTCGCTCCAAAAAACTGGTCCTTGCGCATAACTTATTTTGTTAATAAAAAACCTAGCACCGGATTTAAGAAATGAAATGTATGTGTGACATTGCTGTGTATTTTTCGTGAGAAAATTTAAAAATCCAATTATGTATTTTCGCCGGCTTTGAAGAGTTGGCGTTGCTTCGCATCCGTTTGCGTTTCGGGATTCCTGTCCCGACGATGAACGCATGCAAAGGAGACTACTTCTGTATGCACAAGCAACAAAAATCAAACTTGAATTTTTCAAATTATTGCTTTCTTGTTATATGTTTAAAATGTAGTCAAAACTATGCAGTTTTGTGTTAATTCAATATTTGAAAAATTTATATCAGTCAGTGAACGTAACTGTGATATTATATGTACATGTACTTTCCTTTCTAGAGGTGACTTTGCTATTAATAGTATTTAATGGTCAGATGATGATGTTAATGAGGTCGATCGACGACAAAATATTAATTAACTCCATTGTATTATATTTTATGAAGTAAATAAATAAATTACATGCATATATACATGCATRCATGGATGCATGAGTGAGCCTGGACAATAATCCAAGCAAATGTCACCCGATGTATGGCAATAAGTTTCATATGCCTCGATCTTTCCGGCCTCGATCTTGTCGCTCAAACTCTCGACAATGAGGAAACTGGTACCGACTTATGGAATCAGTCTATTCATACACAATAGTCATACATTCAATGAGACAATGGTTACATTCGTCATARCAATTCCTTAGAAACCCAACTATCGTTCACCTTAATGACGTCATGTCTGTTTTGTCGAGGTGCATCATGGTAATGAAAAAAAATCTCAAGATGGCAGATGTCTCAAAACTACGAAGGACCATGATGAAAGACTTATTTTCTTTACAAAATTAACGTTGTCTCTTATCTTAAGCAATAAAAACCTGGGAACCAGGTTGACAATAAG